TCCTGCACTGATTTCAAAAGCACTGGTTGAAAATCCCCCAGCAGCCTGCACAGCTACTGTGGAAGGGAATAATTGGTATTGTATGTGCCTACAGTACTGTTCAGGAATTTAATTTTCTTCTCAACTCCCTGCCACTGTTCACATGGAAATAAGCATCGTCCCGTCTGCTCTATTATGAGAGCTACTGAGAAAAGTGGTTTTGTTGGCAGAGGGAAGCGCTTGCTCTCTTTTTGCATCCAGCTTGCACATTATCACAAACATTTACCAGCCCAGTTTCAGTTGGCCTTTGCCATTCTTGTTAATGCTAGTGAAAAAATGAATGCTATTTTATTCACCTGTGAAATAAAAGGATGCCTTGGACAAATGAGCAATTGTGTCTGGAAATCTGCCGCAATATCAACTGTCTTTCTGCCAGCATGAATGGAGTAAGGTATTTTTCAGCTGGAGAAGATCCTACATTGTTAAGGATGAGCATTTATGACAGTGCAGCATAGCCAGTAAGGGTATTTTTTCCCTTTTCTTAGGGGCTTAATAATACAGCTTGCATTGCTGTGAGCTGAACATGCACATGCATAAAGGGATTGTATTATTTTCCATGTACTTAGAAGGGCACTGGCAATTTGAAATTGGTTTCTCAGCTTCTACTAATAACCTGTAAGTTAATTTGGTCTTGTTTATTTGTCTTCATATGAAAAAGTTTGGATTGTCATGTAATAGTATGTAACTGAAAGCCATTATTTCCTGACGTCCGATTCAGCTTCCTGTTACTGTTTCGTTCACGGCAGTCCTGTTTTATCTGTCTTTAAAGGGACTACGCTTGATGTAGGAGGACTGCTGTTAAGTCTGTCCTCAGTTGCAAAGGCTAATAAATGCATTATGTACTCCTGTTATGTCATTTTGTTAACTGTATTATGCCACTGTCAATAAAATTCATAGTCGAGGTCTGTAGCTTGCTTTATTATTGTAGATTGTTCTCTAATTTTATTTATGCATATGCTCCTAGCGACTAGACCGCTGCAGCGATTGCTTCCATTCTGCCGTGTAAATACTACAGCTGGTTATACATTGTCAGCAAATCTGCTGCATTTACTAACCCCCTATTACTTATCCCGTCATCTCCTTCTCGCATCAACATAATGATCCTACCTCTTTCGCCCTCACAGGTAACACTTTCTTTCAGCAAAGTTCTTACACATCTGGAACTGGCCGGTGAACTACGGGATACACTAGAGAAATTCAGGAAGAACATGTTCTTCACGAAGAAGCAGAAGGTTGAACTTCACCCCCGCAAAAGACTGTTAGTCAAAGCAGTGGTACTTAACAGGTCGTGGCAGCTGGGTGGAAGCAGCGCTAGACAGCCTCTCCTTGTTTTAAACCCTGCCAGAGCTGCGGAACTGCACACGGATGGGCCTTCTGCTCTGAACGCAGACTTCACCCGTCGACTTGTCACCTCGCAGAAGCTGCTGTGGAACATGCACGACAGGGTGGCGTGGTACACACCTGAACTGTGCTGGCTGTCCCCACTTCCTAACAGAAGCAAGGGAAGGTGGTGGTGAGCAGCTCCAGGAGGAGTTGTCCACCAAAGAACTGTTCTGAAGCCCATGCTCTAGCCACATCTTCTGAGCTCCTGTTGTCCCTTCTGATTTCCATGCTGCTCCTAAGAGCAAGGCAATCCCACTAGGTCACCTCCAGAATATGTCCAATGTTAATCACCCACTCTTGGCTTTAGCTTTAATACACGTTTTGTTGAGCATAAGGTTATCTGGGAGCCAAGGTCTGGGTCGCCTTCTCTCCTGCTTACTGCATTTTTTTGCTCATTCTTTGTTCTTTTACTCTTGTGTTCACTGGAGCTTGATCTCTGGACTTCTTTGCTAAGGTCCTAGTTCTGATTCTGCCAGCGAAGGGACAGGAAAATAACACCTCTGCACTTAAAAAGACATATGCAGCAGCCTGGATGGGGAGCAGATTTCAGCTGAAGGGTAGATAAATCCTTACCACCCGTCTATGAAATGTCAGGGCTTCTCTTCCTCACGGGCTCCCTGTCTGTAGGAAGCCACCATTTTCCCAAGTGGGGAAGGAGTGCTCTGGGTACCGTACGCAGGGAGGAATCCGGTTGATGCCACCGGTGACCCTTCCTCCACACCCGTCACTGCTGTCCTTAGAAGGGCAAAGTGTTCACACGCGTTACAGCACGTTGATAGGCATCACCTAATGTCCACCCAGGCTAACGCCCCGTGCACGTTTTGCTGTGGTAGATTACTCGATCGGGAGATGTTTGCCAGCTAGGCCTGCTGGAGACTTCCATCCA